TTTCTCCCCATCTTATATCTCTTCATATTTGATAATGACTGCGCATCGGAATTCATTAAAAAAAAATAAAGTTATATGATTTATAACAGAAAGTTTTAATGGTTTTACCTCACATAGAGTCTGTTACAGTATTAGCTAATGATAAGGACTGGTGCAAAGATAAGTATACAAGATGGGAGCAAAGTGTAACTACAAGCCAAGTTGTTGAAACCTTCTCATCTTTAACCATTAGACATTTATCTTCATCTGGCAGCAATGGTTTAGAACTGGAATGCTTAGAATTCTACTGCTGTATGGACTGCTGCTGTTGCTGCTGTACCTGATAGTGAAAAACGTTCGCACCTGAACTGGTTTGGATTTATTTGGATTAAGATAATTGCAAGTGGGAATTAACAAACATGAAGCAAAAGGAAAAGCAAGAAAAAAATTCAGGTAATCTACAATCAAACAGAATAAAATAAAGACTTGATAAGCGGTAGCTATGGATTGCATGCATTGGCAGGTTTAACTTTTTCCTGCTAGGGACGAATCGATTCTATGTTAATTTACGCGTGAAAGTTTATATTTTCAAAGCTGCAGATAGATTAATTAATTACTCAAGACAAGGGAAAAATCATGTTGCCCAATATAGTGAGGGAGAGATCCAAAAATCCTCAAATACTATAGAGTAATAATTTGGGTGGACGGCATATCATGAGGTTTGAAGAAAAATTAAAAAGCTGTTTTCTATTTGTCTTTTAAAGATTCATTGCTCTGTATTTGATATTCGTTGGTGAAAAATATTCGCCCCTGAACTGGTCTGTAAACAAATGTGTGAGCCAAACAGCCTTAGACATGGAATTTGGAGAAACTTGAGGCATGATTAATATGCCTAGTGCAATTGTTCCTCAAATTCTGAGGCATGATTTTGATAACTATTTTTACTGGAGTCCCCGCACGAAAAACTATCTCTTGTCTCTGGGATATTATCGAAGCCCCAAATGCCACTGAACCTCCTCCTGCAAGTCAAACTGCTGCTGCTGATCATGAAGCAGAATATAAGGCATGGAGGAAAAACAATGCAACAGCTTTACATGCCATTCTGACTTCCTGTACCCCATATATGTTTTCTTCGATTAGCGACATCAATTCATCTAAAATTGCATGGGATACTTTGATCGATGCCAATTTATCTAGAAAGTCATTATTGCAGTTAACATCACAAGCTTAATACTCCAATCATCTTCCTTAAATGTGCAATTTCCTCGTCGCATCACAACCCAAGATAGTGCTCCAAGCAGTGTAGGATTTTAGAGGTGTCTCATACAGGTTCAAGAGGTCGCTCCCACCCTCTAAATGGGCGTAGCACTTTGTCTTGTGTAGTACTTAGTTCCCACACGAGACTAGGGTCGGTTTTGAAACCATTTGTAATGCTCCTACCTCAGAAGAGGGGCCTAGTGCGTAGTGAACAACCTCTAGGTCTAGAAGTGAAATACTGAATTGGATTTATTTGTCCGCACCACTCAAATAGAATTTTTTGTTGCACATAGGTCAATTCTTTTTATCTAATCTTAATTCCTCATGACTCACCAATATGGGGTATGGAGCATCACAATATATACATATGACGTATTAGGGAGCTAATATTAAATTATTTTTAAAATCTCATATTAGGGAGCTAATATTAAATTAATTTTAAAATCTCATATAACTTATTAAGATTTTAGATCAAGATATTTTTTTTTTCACATATTAGCTTTTTAAAAGGCATAATTACCACTATTATTTTTTTGCACGATATAATACCAGATTTTGCTTGGAAATACTCTATCGTTGTCCTAGTTTGGCTACCACCCGCGACGCTGTTATGAAGTCCACTGCTTTATGGTCATTGGCTGCATTGCCGGACCTTTTTCCAAGTGGATGTCAGCTAGAATTTTGGCAACAATGGATCTATTCCTGTTAGTGTATTTTTATCATTCAAATCGATTTCATTCCCATAAAATGATTTTCTAAGCTGAACTGGAAAAACCCATGCAACTTCAACAAGATTCAATTTGCTATATATATATAACATAAGCGTTACCGATAATTAATGGTGTTCTTCATCAACTTCAGCATTGATGTTCTTGGGAATCCTCACATGCATCTCGTTATGGAGAACAAGATTTTCTCATATCATTGCACAGGAAGTTGATAATAGGCCTTTCCACACTTTCTATTTCTATTGCAGCTATGATGGTTGCCTTATGTACAGCCCTTATTATTGTGTTAGATGGAGAGATGGAACTTATCGTCTCTGTTGTTTCGCTTGCTTGCGTTCCAGTCACGCTGTCTATGTTATTGCAATTTCCTCTCATGGTTGAGATATTTATGTCAACATATGGACCCAACATCTTTAACTCTTAAACAGAAAAATGAAGTGCTTAGAATTATATTTGTATGTAGAAACAGTCCTTCAACTTCTGTTTGTTTTTGTTCAATCCAATGAAGACTGTCATTGGGGTGTTTTCGATGATTATTACAGTTGTTTCTTTATCTGTCTATTAGTATGGCTTTGACAGAATATCAATAGAGTTAAAAGAGACATTGAACCTGTCAAAATCTAACTGTAACATCGCTATTTATCCAAGCAATAACGTTTGAAGACCAACAATTCCTTCATAAAGATCAGAAAAACTATAATGTCTAAGTATACCTTGAAACATGTATAATTCCATGGAGATTTTTCTGTTTTTTCTTTTCCTTATTGGACCCTTTGGATTTCAAGATAGTGTTAGAAGGATGGAGATTCTTGTGTTTTTCCTTTTCCTTATTGGACCGTTTGGATTTCAAGATAGTGTTAGAAGCGCAAGACACACACGAACAGGTCCTCCTATGTTTATACTGGATAAAGAGCTTCAAGTCTGTTCACAGTTCATTCTCAACAAATCGGTGATCCAATACCCTATTTTGATTTAAAAAATAAAAAAATAATAATTTAGTTCAATTAGTTTTTGGTGTAGCGAAATATTAATTTTAATTCAGTGGGAGATATTTTAAGACATGAAAATTTAACCTCTTAAAAAGCCATTTTTTTTTTCAAAAAAAAAAAAAAAAAAGATAGCTAAATTGGGGTTCTCAATCTTGTCCCCTACGCACCCTTTGGCAGCTAAAGAGTTTGTTGATATGCAAAATACCAAGCTTTGCTAACAAGACCGCATCTGATTGATTCCACTTTGTATTGCTTCTCCAAGCTTCGATTGGTGCTTTTTTTCTTTGAGCTATCAAAAAAATGTTCTGCTTGCTAACAAGTTTTGCATAAAGCTTGCTTACTTAAACCCGCTAAAATTAAGATGCCGAACTTGTTAACCTCATCTTCGTAGATTTGAATATTTGATGTCCTTTGCTTGGTTGTTGAGGAGCAGTATAAAAGAAAAGTGTTTCAAACTCATAACAGGCCTTTTAGACTTCAGGTTGCTGGATATTTTATCCCTTGATTAGTTAGCATTATAAATTTTAATTTTTTTTCAGAGATAAAAATTAAGAATTTTTTTTTTCTAAAAAAATTCAAGAATACACATGAGCTGATTAAATTATTAGATCTTATTCAAGATCACTGATCAAATTATTTGATATTTTTATTTATTTATTTATTTATTATTATTATTATTTATCATTTGGTTAAACGATAAGGGAGAAAAGTTCAGTGTTAATTTTCCTAAAATGAGTTAAGCTTGAACAATAAAGCTCTTAAACAAAAAAAAAGCATATCAAGAGATTAAAATGCTCTCTCATCTGGAATTTTTTTTTTCTTTTTCGTTTTCTAGAAGCATAGACAAAAAAAAAAAAAAAATGCTCTCAATCTTCCCCGCTACGCTCCCTTTGAAAAGTCCATTCATATACAGAAAGCAAAAGTTGTGGTGGGCAGTCACCAAAATTCGACAAAGCAAAAAGTGAAAAAAAAAAAAAAAAGGTAATTCCAAACATGTAGGTCTTGTTCATAATCACATGTAGCAGATTTATTCTGGCAGAGAACATATATATATATATATATATACATGTTCTTTTTCAAACTTATCCATTTATATTGTCTTGTTTAGAGAATAATATAAAATTATTTTTAAAATTTCAATCAATAATATAAAATTTTTAATTGAAATAATTCTTCAATACTCAACATAGGAACGATCTCGTAATTGTTGATCTATAAAGATAAGTTGTTAGGTGCTTCATTTTATTTTCTCATTGAAACCAAATCTAAGCCTGTGCTCGAAAGATAGTTGTTCATACACCAATAAGATAAATGCAAGATCCCATAGTTTTATTAAATGAAAAAGAACCCACCAGTGCAAAGATACTATAGACGTAAAATATAGAATGGAATGAATGCTTTTCTTTTCTTTTCATTTTTTTCTTCTGTGAGTTTTTAATGAATTAGCTTCATTTGTTAACTCTATACGATCTAATATTTTTATCAAGTATAAGTTTTATTCTAATATTTCTATTAAGCATAAGTTCTATTCTAATATTAGAATTAGAATAAAAAGCTTTGAACCCATGAATCTATTCCCTCTCTTTTATGGATTCTCGAGAAAAAAGAGTCATGGTGGTCCACCGGGACAGTCTAGATCCTATCAGTAAATAGAAAGTTTGATTTATATCGGATCTATATAAAGGGATCTTGTTTTTTGCAAATTTATGAGTAAAACAACCTTATATATAGAAATTTGAAAACAATTGATAGGGTCCTATTTAATTATATGCTTTCGACAATTCCCTTTGTTTTCACCATTCCAAGCCTGCACATTTTAACATCTCTCACTTCCGATTAACTAGCAAATAGCTGCTGCATTATCATTCCTACGCAACCGTGGCATCCAGGTACTACTTACTAGCTTGTTGATGCCCGTATAGTAATTGTTCTGATTCATCAAAATTAATCCAGAACTATCTGATTCTAATCAAGCTTCGGAATTTCTATTCACAGGTTATAAGAATGGCAAGTGCTATCGTTCCTGAAATACTGAGAAAAGATAACTATGATGATTGGAGTGTCTGTATGAAAAACTATCTACTGGCTCAAGATCTCTGGGATATTATTGAAGGGCCAAGTATTGAACGACCTAATCAAGCTGTTGATGAAGCCAAATTTAAGGCTTGGATGAAAAAAAATGCTACAGCTTGACATGCCATTCAACTTTCCTGTAGGCCTGATGTATTTTCTTGGATCAGGAACGCTGATTCAGCCAAAACTGCTTGGGATGCTTTGTCCAAAAAGTCATTCAGAAACCCATTCACAACAAAAGGTAATATTTCCAACAAGCTGCTCGGTCTCTTCTTTTGAGACAGGCATCCATATGAGAGCATAAAGTTATGTTATGTTATGTTTGTATGCTCAAAATTTTGTACTCACAGAGAAAATGCAAAACGCAAACAAGAGAAATAAATTAATGTGGGTTATATCGGAGTACTGTCAGTGCATTAATTTGTTTTATTAGCTCTCCACTTATTTATCTAAACTCATTGTTTAAGATTTGAAAAACAACTTTGGCAGAATTTGCTAGCTCTGAACACATTCGAGTTCCAGAACTACTCAAGTATATATATCAAGGTGATTCGAATTCCGTAGGAAACTTTCTTCAGGAGCATCCAGATGTAATAAATGCAAAGATTACACCCTTTGGCACAACAGCTCTTCATGTAGCAACTCTTGCTGGAAAAGTGGAGATTGGGACAAAGTTGGTGGAGTTAATGTCTCCAGAAGCCTTGGCGATACAGGATGTTTATGGTCGAACGGCCCTCCATTATGCTGCTAATACAAGAATGGCTAGATACATGGTGGAAAAGAATGAAAATTTGGTCACCATTGCTGATAAATGGCGAGTTGTCCCAGTTGTATCTACCAGTCAATGGGCCCGGAGGGATATGACTGTCTATCTTCTCTCAAAAACTCCTTTCCAACTGCTAACTGGAGAAAATATTGGCAATGGATCTTTACTCCTCCAATGGACTGTAGTGTCCAAAATGTTTGGTAAGATTTACACTCCCTCGTTACACCCTCTCATGTTTGGTTAACAGCATCTCCAATTATATTTTTTAATTTTATTTAATATTTTTAATATAAATAGAAATTATTATTATTTATATAGATTGAAAGTCAATATCCTTTATAATACTACTATCTATTTTAACTCTTTATTTTGATAAAATCCATAAAACATTTAATTTTGAAAATTTTCCTCCTTTTTTATCCGTTAATCTCCTTTTATCCGATTGGTGAAGAGACTGAGTGGCATAGAAAATAGTAATTTTCATTAATAAAGTATAAAATAAAAAGTCATTTGGACTTTGTAGTAGTGGAGAGCCAAAGATATTTTATCTCACTTTTAAAGATAGAGATTGTGATAAAGAAAGTATCGAAGATGAAATTTAGACTAAAAATCTTCTTATAAAGAAAACATTGGAGATGATCTAATATCTGGTTGCTTATATATATAGAGTGAGTCAATATTAAATTATTTTTAAGATCTCATTTAACCGTTTATGTTTTTAAATTGAAATAATTTTTTTAATTGATTTTTTTCTGTAAATTGGCTTTTTAAATGACATAACTATCACTATTGTTTTTTGCATGATATAATACCAGATGTTGCTTTGAAAATACTCCATCGTTGTCCTAGTTTGGCTACTGCTAGAGATCTTCTTTTTAATCGCACTGCTTTGGGGGTGCTGTCTATTTCACCTGACTTATTTCTAAGTGGATGCCGACTTGGATTTTGGCAACGATTGATTTATTCATGTAAGTATATTTTGATCTTTTTGTTATTTTTAGTCCGAACACTCGTAAATAGTTTTTACCGAAAATTCAACTAGAATCGATTTAAACAATCTCTCTATTTTTTTTTTTTCACGAACGTTTGTATATTTTGTCTTTTTTTATTCCCCTGACTGTGCCAAAGTCACGCTAATAGTTTGATCTTAGTAAGAAATTATTTCTAAGTTCACAGAGTAATTTACTCATTTATAAAACAAGGAAACTTTAACCCAATATCTCTCTTTTACGTCTTAAATAAAGTCGACATAACTTGTACTGATCCTTTTGATTCAAAAGATTTGATAATGAATATATTTCCCAATTTCCAATTCATTTAACATAAGCATTTGAATCTAATATTAAAAAGCGGATGGTTGAATAAGTAATGCATAAAATTGCAGGAAGAAATTATTAATTAGTCTTTCTAGTTTTAAAAACTTATTAATTATTTTTATATTTTTAAATCTATTTACAACTTTATCATTTAATTTCATTTGTTTTTAATTTATTATTTTTTGAAAAATAAAAATAAATAAATAATATGAAAAAATTGATGAGAAAATAATATTAAATTAACTATGATCAACACTAATCTATAAATTATTAACTCGTTCTACGAAACTAAAAAACTAATTTATAATTTACTCTAAATTATTGTGTTCCAAGATAAATATTAATGAAGTCGATTTTTCATGAAAGGTATACATGTTGATGTTGATCATACTCACATTGATCTCGAGCAAAGCGAGTGTGACAACAAGATCATTATGCAACAAGGTAAAAAACTTATGTGCACTCATTTGATTTTTATATGACTATTACTTAATAATTATTTTAGTTCTTCTGTATCTAGATGTTTTTAGTATTTTGAAATCTTAACATAGATTATTATAAATGAATGAGTAAAAAAGCCAACTACTCATGAAACACTTCTTCAAAATTTCCCTATAATATACTAAATAAAAATACTGGCTCAATTTATTAATTTTTATATAACGGAGTATTTCTCAAATATATCTTTATATTCTAAAATGATCTAGTTTTATATTTTAATTTTAGTAAAGTGTTTAATCTATTATTGAGATAGAATTTTCATTTCAATCCATCGGAATGGATATAACCAACACATGATTATTTTTTTTATTTTCAACTCAATCTTTGGAAAAATTGGCACCTTTTCTTGTGAGAGACATGTGACTCAACTGTGGTGATTGTTTTTAACGTTGTGAGTGAGTCAGTTTTTTAACTATCAATATTTTAAATGTCAAAAGGGTACTTAAATAAACAAAAATTGTTGTGATAACTAATGAACCGAGCTTAAACTTTACTGAAAAATAGGAAAAAACCGAGTTTGACTGTTCGGGCACAATCGTCAACTCATATGCAGTTATATGTTTCTTATGCAGTTTTATTAACTTTCTTTCCTTATGCAAAAATAATTACAAAAATAATATTTCTGTTCCTTACATTTTGAATTGTTAGGTAAATTGCACCGCCTTCGTGTAAATTTCTTCAGATTCTTAGGTAATGTGCCCCATAACAAGATCATTGATTTTCTTGTATCGTTAGCATCGCTTTAATTATTCTGATTCTGTTGGTTGGCTTTTTTTTATTTATTAGGAATCAAGAAAATGTATGATTTGAAGATGACCCATGCTTATTCAAGGAAACTTCTTAGTTTTATCAGTGAACATATATCAACATTAAATGAAAGTACACAAGCTGACATTGGAGTTCCTGAATACTTCAGGAATGCAGTTGAGCGTGGTTTAGTTGAGATGGTTAAAAAGTTACTTAAAGCTTCTCCTTTTGTTTTCAATACTTTGGACGAGGATGATAGAAATTCAATTATGTACTCAATTGTAAGTCGACAAGAAAAGATTTTTAACCTAATTACTGATATATTCTTTGGGGAACTAAGTTTTCTTGTCGATAAATTCGGCAATACAATGTTGCATGTGGCCGGAATGCTTTCACCTCCTTCTCAATTGGCTCGAATCTCAGGTGCAGCTCTTCAAATGCAAAGAGAACTACAATGGTACAAGGTGATGATCTCCTCAAATCTTAGTCCCCTTATCGTACGTCACAATAATATGTTTTCAAAATTTGAGTCTTCATTTGAAGTAATAAACCTAGCTAGTCATTTTGTTCTGAACTACTGAGTGCGCATATATCTCATTGACCATGCACAAGGTGTTTCGTTCATATCTTTTGGCTTAATGTTTTTTGTGCAGCGATGTTTTTTGTGCAGCGAGTGGAAAACATGGTTAATCCAGCAACTAAATTTTTTCGCAACCAAAATGGTGAAACTCCTGACCAACTATTTACTAAGCATCACAAGCAGTTGGTGATAGCAGGGGAGAAATGGATGAAGGGCACTGCAACTTCTAGTACGGTGGTGGGTGCTTTAATCATTACCATTATGTTTACTGCAGCATTCACTGTTCCGGGTGGTAATGTTCAAGACAAGGGCATTCCTTTGTTTTTACATAAAAAGGCTTTCATGACTTTCATAATATCGGATACAATTTCTCTCTTTGCTTCATCAACTTCAGTTTTGATGTTCTTGGGAATCCTCACATCTCGTTATGAGGAACAAGATTTTCTCAGCTCCTTGCCCACAAAGTTGATAATCGGCCTTTCCACATTGTTCATTTCTATTGCAACTATGATGGTTGCCTTCTGTGCTGCTCTTATAATCATGTTAGAAGGAATGATGACGGTTATCATTCCAATCGTGTTGCTTGCTTCTGTTCCAGTTACACTTTTCATGTTCTTGCAATTTCCCCTCCTGGTTAAGATCGCCATGTCAACGTATGGACCCAGCATCTTCAAAAGGAAGAGGAACCGTTAGTACTGTGTGTATTTAATTTTTATCGAAACAGTCTCTCTCTGTATCGGGAAGCTTTCCTTAATTCTGACAAAGACTCTGTTGCTGGGATGCTGTTGAGGATTGCTTCTGCTGTTTCTTAAATATATGCTTTTGATGGTGTTGCTTTTAGCTTTGTTACATTGTCTACAGACATATCTAGATCATGAATGGGTTTTGTTTTGCTTCCTCTCTTTATTGAAGCTGACCTATTCTCTGGCCTGAAAATTCAAAAGCCTGATTAACAATCTCTTTGTTGTTGGATAACAGACTTTGATCCTCGAATCCCAACAAATCTCTTAATTATGCATTTACTGTGAATTGTGAAGCATTTTTGATGAGCAGAAGAGGTATGCTGTAGAGTATAATCATTGTTATTGGTGAAAATAGAAGCTAACGCTAAATCTTGTAATAAGTCTTAATTTCTTGGGGGTATGTTGTTATGTGAAGCCAGATATGCTTCCAATTGAGAAATTTAGAGATAAACACTGTAGATCCACTTAAATTGGACAACAATGGCAGAGTTCTGCCAACATCTGATCAGAAGAGGGATGCCATAAGTTACAGTATCGCATATAGAAGCATTAGCTGTTTGATCTGATACTATATTAAACAACGATTTCGAATCAAAAAGTTAAACTATTGAGTGAGGTTTTAAAATATAATTTATATTATTCTCTAAACACCGTGAAAGAACAAGTTTGAAATTCCATGTCTAACAGAAATAGACAAACTCTGTTTACCTCGGAAAACTAGAAGGAGACCTGAGTTTCACTTTGAGCGACAACTTAAGTGGGAATTGTGGATTGCTAAATACAAATAAAAGCTTCCCCTGAAGCCCAATATTTAAAAATAGACAACCCATAATTGACAATCCAAAAAAACTAGAGTAGACTACACATCGTTTGGCCTAATACAAATAAAAGCAACAATTGACACTGCTAAACGAATGTTTGGCTCAAAGGAGAAGAACCTATGTAGTAGTAACGTGTAAGTTTTTAGAACGGTGGAGATTCTAAAATTGTGGAGTTTAAGAATGGTCGGGAAAACAATAAAAATGCTTGATTAAATAAGTAGTTTAAAATCCATTTGTATTGAAATTAATAGGAAAAAAAAAAAAAACTCCAAAAGCCATGGCAAATGAGGTTTAAGAAATCATTTAATATAATTTTTTATTTTTTATAACTCTTTTTGGAAATTTTTATCTAATATAAAATTTAAAAATAAATTAGTTAAAAATAAACTATATTGACATTTGAAAAGTCAAAAGAACCAATAAAATTGGGATGGAGGGAATAACGAAATTTAAATTTTTTTTCACCTCCAAAATTGGGGTTAATCTAATATGATTTCAAAACTGATCCTTGAGTTTGGATTGGGCATTAAAAAAAAAAAAGTTAAAGGAGAAAATTTGAGTTTATTTTGTTGGACGGAGAAGTGTATTATCCTTAGATATGATTTTCTTCCTTTTTGTTTAGGAAGGCATTTTTTGTACAAACACAAAAAAAAATAAATAAATAAATAAAAAATTAGGATTTGTATTCCGTTCTCTTATAAAAACATAAGTTTTATTATAAAAATAATTCACGGGTCTCAATTTTTGTGAAAAAAACAACTACAATAATTCTTTATATAGAAACTTGCTTCCATTCTTCCTGGCTAGCCACCTTATGCAAAGGTCGTGGGTCCATGCATTCATGCACACATATATATAGAAAGCAAAAAGGTGTATGCTGGGAACACGTTTTGTTCAAGAGATGGAAAAATTCCAAACTTGCCAACAAAATAAGGTTAATATGTTTCGCATGAAGTTGCTTACTCTTATTCCTCTAAATATGCTTTCATGCAGATGCGAAACTTGTTCGTTTTATTTTTGTATATTTGATGTTCTTTTTGCTTGGTTATTGAAAAGTAGCATAAAATGTAAAAATAAAAAATAAACAAAATAAATAAACCAAAGGGATTATATGACATTAATTTATGAGTTGCTTTACCATGCATCAATGAGAAACTGGCTTGGATTTATTTGGATTAAGATAATTGCTATTGCCCTATATATAGCAAGGGATCTTGTTTTGCAAATGTATGAGTCAAACAGCCTTAGATATGGAATTTGGAAAAAATTGAGGTCCTGTCTAATTGTTTGCTTTCAACTGTAAACAAATCTCTCACTGCCAATTAAGTGGAAGCTAGCTGCTGCATTATCATTGTTGCAACTGCAGCATATAGGTACGTACCACTTGCTTTTCAATGTACTTAATTTGTAATTCTGATTCATCAAAAATCAAGTACTGTCTGATTCTCTAATCAAGCTTCGGAATTTTCCATTGACAGGTTACAATTGAATATGGCTAATGCAGTTCTTCCTGAAATCCAGAGACATGATATTCATAACTATGATTATTGGAGTGCCTGCATGAGAAGCTATCTCTTGTCTCAAGATCTCTGGGACATTATCAAACCTCCTCCTACTGATCAAGCAGTTGCTGCTGATCATGAAGCAGAATATAAGGCATGGAGGATTAAAAAAGCCACGGCTTTACTTGCCATTCAGACTTCCTGTACCCCAGATATATTTTCTTTGATTAGCCACATTGATTCAGCTAGAATTGCATGGTATACGTTGTTCGAAGCCAATTTATCTAGAAAGTCATCATTTCAGTCAGCATCACAAGGTGATATATACTCCAATCATCTCAGCATATATTTTGAAATAATAAAGCAAATCCTTTAGTCATTATTACACATGCTCAACAGCAAGATCATCACATTTTATATACTTCATCTTAACCAGTAACGTTAACACTTAATACAAAACCAAGTACTTTGGGTGCAGTAAAGCCGGTATTACACGATGATTACGCTCAATATGCTGACCTAGTAAAGTATGTACATGGAGGTAATTGGCATTCCACGAGAAGCTTTCTTGACCAACATCCAGAGGTAATAAATGCAAAGATTTCATCCTCTGACTCAACAGCCCTTCATATGGCGGCTCGCGCTGGAAAAGTGGAGATTGTGGGAAAGTTGGTAGAGTTAATGTCTCCAGAAGCCTTTGGCGATACAGGATTCTAATGGTAACACAGCCCTTCATATAGCTGCTGTAGCAGGAATCACAAAAATGGTCAGGTACGTGGTCGAAAAGAACGAAGAAACGAGATTGGTCGCTATTGTAAATAAAAGGGGATTTTTACCACTTACAATGGCTTCTGTAAAGGGGCACAGGGATGCCACTGTCTATCTTTTCTCAAAAACTCCCTTTGAACTGCTAGATGTTGGATATGAAAGTGGCAAACATGGATCTTCACTCCTCCAAAGTGCTATATCAAACAAAATGTTAGGTAAGAGTTTTCATACTCACTTCATCCTCTTATTTGCACATGTGAGGTAGATTGCATTCATGGTTGCTTAGAAATAATACTTTATGTAACTCCCCAAGCTTGCGAGGAAGGGTCAGGTGCGCTGTACTGAACAACCACGATCTGTACCTACAAGTGTAACACTTAGTTGGGTTTATTTGTTTTCACCACTTAAAATAAATTTTAATTTTGTTGCACATAGATCCGTTAGCTATTCCTTTTATCTAATTTAAATTTCTCATAATCCACCAATGTGAAAGATGAGCATCACATATATATCTTAAAGTCCCACTCAACTCTGAGATAATTTTTTAACCGGATTGTTTCTTCTTTTTCCTATATATTAGCTTTTTAAATAACATAATTATCACTGTTATTATTATTATTAATTTTTTCTTTTCTTTTGGCATGATATAAACTAGATCTTCCTTTGGAAATACTCCACCGCTGTCCTAGTTTGGCTACTGCTCGTGATGCTGTTCTTAATTCCACTGCTTTATGGTCATTGGTTGCATTGCCGGACTTTTCTCCAAGTGGATGTCACCTTGGATTTTGGCAACAATGGATCTATTCCTGTCAGTGTATTTTTATCTACCAAATCAATTTCATTCTTACAAAATGATTTTCTAGGCTGAACTTTAAAAACCCCCGCAACTCAACAAGATTCAATTTACATATAAATATTTTGGTAAGTACTTTCTAATATATAATTAATGAAGTTCTTTTTCATGAAAGGTATACATGTTCCATCACCTGTTACCGGTAATGGTGTTGATGCACATATTCTTAATCAAAGCCAGCGTGAGTCAAAGATTATTACGCAACATGGTATTTTTTATTTTATTTTTTCATTTTTAGGAATTAATATAAAACCATATTCTAGAATCTCAACTAACAAATTAATCTTTTGATTTAAGCGGTTTTATGCAAATTGCAAAGAATTTATGTAAATTTCCTCAAATTCTTAGGTAATGTCTCCAAATAATAAGATGATCATTTTATCTTATCATGTATTTTGCATAAAATTAATTTTGATAGTATTTTCTTATTTTTAAGAATCAAGAAAATATATGATTTGAAGATGATCCACGCATATTCTTATATAATTCTACATCGTATATGTGAACAAATATCAAGATTAGATGAAAGTACATGTGTTAACATTATTGTACCTGCATTCAGCAAGGCAATTGAGCTCGGTGTAGTTCAGTTTGTCGTGGCAATTGCTGAATTTTACCCTACGGTTCTGTATTCTAATATTGATGTGAATGGAAGAACTCCAATGATGCAATCAATCATCAATGGACAAGAAAAGGTTTTTAACCTTTTTTGTTATTATGGGTTAGATGTACACAGTGCGGATGCATTTGGCAATACAATTTTGCATTATGCTGGAATGCTTTCACTTTCCTCTCCATTGACTCGAATCTCAGGTGCAGCTCTTCAGATGTAAAAAGAACTACAATGGTACAAGGTGATAAACCTAAGATCATTTAATTTGTTTTCAACTATTGAGTGCATAACAACATGTTTTTATATTCACAATATAAATGCCTTTAGGATGTGAAAGTTTACCCAAACTTTTTAATATATATATAAGCCTAGTGATTTTTGTTCAGAGAGTGGAAAGCATCTATCAATATCCGGTTGCTAAATTATTTCCCAACAAGAATGGTGAAATACCTGCTCAATTATTTACAAAGAGTCACGAGCAATTGGTGCTAGAAGGGGAGAAATGGATGAAGGACACTGCAACTTCCTGTACAGTGGTGGTTGCCTTAATCATCACAGTCATGTTTACAGCAGCATTTACCCTTCCGGGTGGTAATGTCGAAGGCATCGGCGTTTCGATATTCTTACATAAGATGGCTTTCAAAGCTTTTATAATATCGGATACAGTTTCTCTATTTTCTTCATCAACTTCAGTTATGATGTTCTTGGGAACCCTCACATCTCGTTATGGAGAAGAAGATTTTCTGATATCCTTGCCCAGAAAGTTGATAATAGGCCTCTCCACCCTTTTCATTTCTATTGCAGCTATGATGGTTGCCTTCTGTGCCGCTCTTATAGTTATGTTAGATGGACAGATGAAGCTTATCGTCCCTATTGTTTCGCTTGCATGTGTTCCAGTCAGCTTGTTTATGTTATTGCAATTTCCCCTTTTCGTTGAGATATTTATGTCAACATATGGACCCAACATCTTCAACACTTCAACAGTTGCTAGATTTGTACGTTGAAACAGTTCTTGAACTTCTATTTGCTTAAACAATGAGATGAAGAAACGAGATTATTACTGTTGTTTTTTAATACGCCTTAAGTTGTTGGTCTTGCTGTTTGCTTTGTTACACTTGCTTTATTAGCATGGCTTTATGTAGCCCATGGACAAGCTTTGTAGTCTTGTAGAATATTTGCTCTGTAACAGCTTGAGAAAGGAAATCATTGACCTAGCTATTTGTTGGATGAAGTGGCATTAAGGAACTTGAAGCAGCCCATTTATCCGATTAATTTTTAAACTAAATAAATAATTTATGCCCTTAATTATGCCATAAATTAATTTTAACATTGCAATAATACCTTTACGCCAAGCGTTTCTATCCATGAACTAGTTTAACACCGAGCTGTTTTCTCCCCATCGCATCAGAATTCATTAAAAAAATATATGTTATATCATTAATATACAGGGTAGGAACAAATTATAACTACAAAGCTAAGTTGTTGAAACCTTCTCATTTTAACCACTAGACATTTATCTTCATCTGGCAGCAACGGTTTTGAACTGGAATGCTTAGCAATCTAGTGCTGTAGGCGAAGCTTCCGGCGAGCCAGAAGTTACAGCCTTTTTTTTTTCTTCTTGGGCTGGCACATGCCTAACCTATTTTTTTCTTTGGGCTGCCAGCAGCCCAGGCCTGGAGTGTAGGAGGCTGGAGCAGCCTGTCGCACAAGCCTAGCTCACAGACCCACCATCGCTGGGCTGGGCTGGGCTGGCTGCACTTGCCTTTTTTTTTCTTCCAATAATTTATTTTTATTTTTTTTATCATAAAATTAGGTGTGAAAATATAGAAACTAGATCATTATTTTTTTTAGTTTTAAGTTTAGTTTGATGTAATAGAATATATATGATATTTTTTTAATTTTTTAGTTTGAACTTATTGTTTAAATTTTATTTCTTCAATTGTATGTTTCTTATTAAAATTCTCATCTAGTTAATTTTTTAATTTTTTTATGTAATTTTATTTTTTAATAAATTTTTTTATAAATTAATTTTGAAATAAAATTTTGGAACACAAATGTGTTATTTTTAAAAATATATTATTATTATTTATATGATTAATTATTTTTTATAATTTATAAATGAGACTAGCATAGTTGTATGTATAAATTCTGATGAGAGAAAGAGAGAACTCAAAATGTGTTTTAGATAGTTTGACTCAATGTTTTTTTTAAAAAAACTAATAATTAGATAAAAAAGAATTTGTATATTTTATTTGCTTATATATATATATATATATTGCATTATAATGTAAACGATAAGTGAGATCAAAATCAAGATGATATCCTAAGCTGAACTTTCAAAAACCCTGCAACTTCAAAAAACCTTAGTTTATTTATTTATTTATTTATTTATTTATTATTATTATTATTTTGTTCAAGCCCTTAATTTACTTTTTATTACCTTTCATTATTCTATTCAAAAGTTTGAAAATTCGGCTTTTTTTTTCTAATTTTTCTCCTTTTTTTTTATTTCTTTAGGTAATGAGTTTTTCATCCACTTATCAATTATCATAAACATTTATGTAAACTCAAAACATAAACATTTAAAACCAATAATTAATTGTGTTTAGTTGAGCAATTTATAGAAAAGTATTTCAAAATCATTATTATATATTACTAACGTTGTCAACTTTTTGTAAAAGGTATACATGTTCGAGTACCACTCATTATCAGCAATGGGGTTCCTGTCCATGTTCTCGACAAAAGCCAGTATGATATAAAGATCATTATGCAACAAGGTATGGTACTCGTTAACTTAAATCATATTATTTTTTAATACATCCTCTCCGTTAAATGATCATCTCATTTAAAAACTTAAGCTCTTAGGTAAAGAGCCAAGATATGATTTATATTATTCTCTAATATACTTTTTTAAATAAAAATTTTTTGGGTTTGAAATTTGCACGAGCCCATATTACTTTGCACTTAATTAATTAAAAGAAAAAATGAGGATGGTAGGATTCAAACTTAAGACCGTTTGGTCATTAAGGCTCGATACCATGTCAAAAAATCATCTTATCTAAAAACTTAAGCTTTTAGATAAAGCCTCAAGATATGATTTATATTATTCTCTAATACTTTCAAATGAAATCCCAAAAGTTTGAACTTAGAATTCAAACTACCCTATCAAATTATATAATTGAAATTATGTTCTATAAAAAAAACTTAAGATTTGTATTGGATGATCCATTTTACAATTTTTATATTAGTTTATATTTTGTATTTATTCGATATGAGATATACCACTTCTCTTAATTGCAGGCCATCTTTTTTAGTATGTTAGTTGGTTTGGACTTTTGATCTTTGTTTAGCCACTCCCTCTTATTTTGCAGCCAATTTTTGAGAATCTATCCAGTGGCTTAGATTCTCAAATCTTTGTTAGATTGTTAGGGTTTTTTAGAGTTTTACTATTATATTAAATTAGATAGTTAAAATTAAATTCTA